GCCATGAAGTATTCGACATTTGTTTCGTCCCAGTAGAAGACTCTTCAGAAATGCACATTCACGGCTTTACTAGAGATTAAGATCTGAGATTTTCAGGTTTCATGGTGAATATATTGTCTTAAAAACTGATAAGTTCAAACTTGATAGCCTACATTTTTAAATTCAATCAATACACGATATAACTTGAATATCATTCATGACAATTGTTTTATGCCTGAAACATCTTGCTAGAACTTCAATAACACATCTCTTATTACTATTGGTTGCAATCAGAGATCTAATAGTTAAGCAATCAATAACAGATCTAAATATCCTTGGTCTGATCCTTGAAGGTCCATAGAATCTCACTATTAAGGAGTCTCGTAATGAAATGTGTTAGTTGTTCAGTACTTCCTAGGTTTCCGAGATACTTCAACTAAAATCAATTTGTGATGAATATTATTTATCGATTAAATTGATTTTTACAAAGAATTATTCACTAATTATGATAATGATGTAAACAATGAATATCATCTCTTCCATATAGAATGATAGAGAACTGAATACAATTGAAAAACTAGTCACTTATAATCACAATTGATTGATCAATGTCGTGTGTGTCAAGTCTTTATTAGTGCAGATCGAATACTATCGACCAAGTTGCAATGTGGCCACTAGTCTAGGTGACTCGATATTGCGTGCACTATGTTGAGAATAGATGGTGGTTGGAGGTAGTCATCAGGAAACCACTGGATGTCTCTGACTGTGAAGCTGGATGACACAGGATCGAATCCGTTGGGGAGCACCATTTCCCTCAAGAGAACAGGTACACCTTGCTGACGAGTGCCACGTAGCACGAAACTCGAGTCCTGGGTTTCCTGTCGACTAACTTGAACCACCAACTAGTTACTTATAATATGAAATGAGCTTAGTTATTTATGATGATAAACAAACATATCACTTATAGAATGTCTTGGAAAGAAACGATTCAACTAAATTAAATGGTTAATAATAAGAAGATAACATTTAATCAATCCATTTACTCTACAGTTTAATCAGACAAGTAGCTGGATTTATCAGCAATCTATAAAACTAGAATGATTTTGTAATCATTACATTTTTTCTACAAAATTAAAATCCATAATCTGACCACAACAGTTATTGTAAATCTAATATTAACCTATAAATATATGCACAATCACACAAACATAAGCACTAGACAACCGTTTTATCCTATTATGGTGATCTTCAGCAGTGCTCATCCACGATCCCAGCTCTCGGGATTCGAACCCAGGACGTATCGGTTTCAATTCAAACTAGATTATTGATAATTTACTGAGATTTAGTCAAATCTATTAACTGAATCAATTGAATGATTTTATTCATGAATTATATTTTATTGCAGAATTTTTTTAGAAGGTTCCATTTTAATTGACAATAATAATTATTGACGAGTCCCACAATAGGACGAAACGGCCGTCCAGTGCTCCCAGGTTTAGCTTCAATTGACTCATGATTTCAACTATTGAAATTATTTATTTATTTTTATAATATTAAACATCATTTTAGGGAATTTGATGCCTGACGCATCTTTGGTTACCATTCATAACTGAATATGTATCTTTCTTTTATTGAATAAAATCAATGGTAAGACTATAATTTATAGACGAACCAATCATGTAGAAGATAATAGGTCTCGGATTTTTGGCGCAAAATTCACTCATCCATTTAGTTAATTAGAGTTTCGGTATGAATAGCTGATATGAGTTCGTGATGAAAACCTGAAGTCTGATTCATAACTTTAACCATCAACTGTAAATCATAATTCGAGTTACTTAAACTAGTTTGTAAATCTCATTTGGTCCTAATTATCAGGTGTATACTCTCATGGTCAGTCTGGTGTCGCTCAAAGATCATTCATGAATTATAATTTCACCAAATCAATAATAAATAGATCCCTTAAAAACACATACATCTTAAGATTTGACATTTGGTAAATAAAAAAGGAACGGATCGAATCAGTTTTTCATCATGTGTTTATACTAATATATAAGTATGATTTATAATAATAAGGTAATAGTTATGGAGTAGATATGTTACGTAATAATCAATATAATAACATATCGATTATAAATTGGAAGAAAGAGGATTAATAATAACCAAAGTAATTATTGGAAAATCAAGTAGTTGCTATGTTGCATAATAGATTCAAAAAAGAAGAAGGAACTAACAATATATTTTATATTATGTAAGAATCTAGAGATTAGATGGTGGTTGGAGGTAGTCGATAGGAAGTCCTGAACCCGGGTTCCATGCTACTTGGCACTCGTCAGCAAAGTGTACCTGTATTCTTTGAGGGAACATGTGCTCCCTGATGGATTCGATCCCGTGTCACCAAGCTTCACAGTCAGAGACGTTACCATCGATCTATCCGGGCAGCAACCGACTTCCTGTAAGACTGAGATGTAATCACAATTGATTGATCACTGGGTGGTGACCAATGTCATGCGTGTCTAGTCCTTATTATTAATGCAGTTCGAATGTTATCGACCATGTTGCAAGAAACTAGAGACAAATGTTGAGAATAAATAAAATACAAAAAGTGGAGGGAATACAATAATAGTTTATCCAAGTTCAGCTACAAACTCTCCTATACCGATGGTCAAGGTAGTGAGAGTGGTTGTATAAACTTCTTTTAGATGCAAAGGTTAGATTTGTGAACATGGATTACAATGGCTTCAGTAATGTGAAAAAGACGCACTCATAAACCATGTGACAAATTTGATGGAATATGGTGGATAACCTTAAAAGTTTTATTCGGTTCAACTGTTTCACAGAACAGAAAGAATATGTACTGCCGATATACTAGAAGAGGAAGTAATGAATGTTAAGAAGTGTTTCAAGGAATAACGGATACCAATTGAAATTTATTGAGAAATATGGAAAACATGAAAATGAGAAAAACCCCCACAGAAACTACAGTAAATAAAAAACCTATTTTTATTCAACTCAAATTCAAAGGTGATAATGCATTGAAGAGAACTTATCGTGTAGCTAAATTGATTGTCCTATCTAAAACAACATGTTCTTTAAAACAATCAAAAGTTGGTAGGTATCGTTTTCATGTTACCATCAAATATATTCACATATGTCTTCCAAAGAATTTACATTGGTAGAATAGAAAGGAGAGTCTACATCCGATTCAACGAACATATTCCAAAAAGTTTAAGATCAAACGGACTAAAAGCATTCAGTAGTGCCATCGAAAGATATCTCCTTGACACAGGACACAAAGTTGATAGGCTGAAGTCCTTCAAAGTGATTAACAAACAATCAAACTTCAAATTTTTGAAATTTGCCGAAGCGATAGTAATCAAATGTTTAAAACCAGACCTATGTATACAAAAAGAGACAGTAATAAATCTTTCTTTACCCTGGTAACATTACTCCCCCCCTCATTTTTATTTATTACGTCATTCCAGTTCTTTCTGAATTTTTAAAATTATATCATACATCATTGACTGATTTCAATTCATATCTTTCTTTATATTACCATTAATCTATTTCATGTGTTCTAATCACTATTTCAATGTTCTGGGACTTTCGATCCCAAACTTTATTGATTCGGAACAAACTATTTTTATGACCTGATTAAATCTATCGTAATCTTCGCTACATCATGATACACACATATATTCGCCCCCAAATGCCCTGGTATGGCCGAGAGTGGGGAGAGTCCGCTCTCCCTCTCGAAATGCTCTCACATGGCCATGCGTATATAGCCTCTGCCAGGGAAGTCCTACTCACTGCCTTCTCGTGGCGGGGGTGTTGTTTACAAAAATGAGAGGACGAAAAGCGAATATCCGGCGCTTTAACCGGACCCCAAACCAATGGTGCACATGGGCTCCAGTATCCTGCGGGAACAAATGGCGTATGAACCAACTTTTGGTCACCGGCTTCCATGGGACTGCATCTCCTCACGATGCTCCACTGCCTTGTGGGTCAGACGTTCAGGTCAAAGGCTCTGGGTGTGGCCCCCTAAGAAAACCACCTGCTTCGGTTTGGGCACCCGAGCAGTATCACAGCCCTCACACAAATCAATTGAGATTTGTGTGGCGCATATGTATTTGGTGCCTCCCTGTACCTATACTTATGTGTTAAAATAAATAAATAAATAAATAACACATATATTCATCCTTGATCACCCTCTTAAGTATAAGTATGTCAATATCTGTAATAATGTTGAATATTCAAATAATTTAGGTTGTAAGTAGCTGATGAGAACCTAATGAAATAAAATGAATCCATTTTGTTATTCTGCATCAACCCTTGTTCTTACTCCCTTTAAAATAATAAAGGGAACTATATGTATGAAATTTCTCGAAATGTGTCTCCCTGTACAGTCATTCAATTCACTGAATCGCCTAGTGACAATACGCTTCAGTATATCGTGAGAAATTACTCGGCTTAAGTTTTTTGATGAATGTCTCAAGTCATACCGTTTCCTACGTCAATTCTTAAAATGTTTCCGCTCATATAAACTTCCACTTTCTCTTTAAAACCTTCAATGTATCACAATATCTCACATAGAATCAACAAAGTTACTAGTCTAACATTTGAGAACAGAAAATAATGCCTTTAATGAATTAGTTAACGATCTGACTATCGTATGTCGCATAAAATTTATCAATTTTATCCAAGGTTTGCAAAATAAAATAATCAAGAACCTTCTGATGTATAAGTATGTCAATATCTGTAATAATGTTGAATATTCAAATAATTTAGGTTGTAAGTAGCTGTAACAATCTTCATTCTTGTTCTCTTGATGATCTTCATCCATCAAGTGAGCAAGAATAGAACACTTAATCACTCTTATTTGTTCTTTGCTCAACCACAACGGATGGTGTTCTTTTATGGGGTGATGAGCTTACCCAATTATATATATATATATATATATATATATATATATATATAAATTGCAATACAAATCAAATCAAAGTTTTATCAAATACTGAACTTACCTTAATATTTTAAGTTTTCATTTCAGATCAGTCAGTTTTATAGAAAGAAAAAATCCACATTTCATGAAATGCAACTGTACTAGATATGAGTAGTACTGGAAGTAGTATAGTATAAATGATAGTAATAATAATAATAATAATAATTAAAATGTACTCATTATAACCATGGTAATTCACTTGAAACCACTTTAGGATTCTTAATTATATATACCTCGGAAACCGAATGATCAACCAATCAAATTTCTTAAATAAATAGTTATCAATTATTGAAATTTGATTGGTTAATTCTGTATCTATGTAGTGCTTGAAGGATTTCATTTATTGTATCCATTATATATATATGTCTATGTACTAAAGAAATGGGTCTGCAATCTTTTTTTTGTATTTTTTCTTTTCACAATTAAGCTGATAGAAACTAAAAAAAAGCAAAAAAAAAGTCCGTCAAAATGATGAAAATTACAATTAATTAAATTTTTAATTATATATTTCAAGTTTTTTTTATTAATTTTTGCCCCATTACGGTTTCTTTTTGCTTTTTAATATACTATTTGTTAATTAGATGAATTATGTATTGAAGTAAAATTATCAGAATGGGTTTTGTGGAGATTTTAGATAGTTCACTGATTGAAATCATGAGTCAATTAAAGCTAGACAATTATGAATAATCTGGAAGCACTAGACGGTCGCTTCATCCTAGTATGGGACTCCTCATCATCATTGGAGTTCTAGTGAGAAGCCGTTACTAATGGAGTTCAACCAGGTCTGTTGTGAGATATCAACTCATTGAAGACAATGGTGTACGGTGGCACAATCTCATGGATTGGTTGAAATTAGACATTAACACCGTTGGATGCCGGTTCAGTGGTCTAATGGTTAAGCGCTCGCGCACGAGACTGACAGGTCCTGGGTTCGAATCTCACGGAGGGCTCGATCATGGATGCGCACTGCTGGAAAGTCTCGTACTAGGACGAAACGGCTGTCCAGTGCTTCCAGGTTTTCCATGGTGATCTACCTTCAATTGACTCATGAATTCAACCAGTGAAGCAAAATTTTTAAAAAGGTTAATCAAATCATTTAAAACAATTGAAATATAAAAAGATATAATTAAATTGAATTTCCTGATCGTAATAATGAAAACAAATATATCAATGGAACTGTTATATTCTATATAAATATATATCTATATATATAATATTAGTTCATTAATAGATTTCTGATATTATCAGTAACAGCCTACTGTAGAAGAGAACAAACCAGCTTCAAGATGAAGAGGAAATTAAGATAAAACGATGGAAATGGATAGAACATACATTACAGAAATCATCAAACTGCATCACGAAACAAACGCTTAATTAGAATCCTGAAAGAAAGTAGAAAAGCGGAAGGACAAAAAAAAACACATTACGTCGGGAAATAGAAGTAGATATGGAAAAGGATGAATAACAATTGGAAAGAGATGAAAAGGATTACTCAGGACAGGGTTGGATGGAGAATGCTTGTGAGCGGTCTATGCTCCTCCACGAGGAGTAACAGGCGTAAGTAACTGTTATATACCAGTGAAGATTAAATTACAAGTGAATTCCAAGAACTATTAATGGACTAACATTATATATATATATATATATATATATATATATATATATATATATATATATATATATATATATATATATATATATATATATATTCTTATTGTATAGCTATTCAGTAACTAGATCTGTTGATTATTATGATACGATTTACTGTTCTTAATTCAAGTACAGTTTATTGATTACATTCTGTCACGTTCAGAGACAATTTTTGGCTTGATCTTGTATAAATGTTATTTACTAAATTATGCTGCAATGCAGTCTGTTTGGCTGGAATATATACCAAGTATGTTTGAAATAAATAATTCGCATAGTGGAAGCTGCTATAAGTATTTTAAACTCAACTGGATAGTTCAGGTGAACAAATGATTAATAAGGATGCTAAGGTGCACCTACCGGTCGAACGTCGTTATTTTGGCACAGCACTAAATTTGAATAAGTCGTATTTTGATTGGCGGATTAATCACGTAATGAAAACTCAGGCTTGGAATACTAGTAATAGTTATGCTAATCAATGGACATATAGCTGATTCAAAACTCCATCAATTTTACATTGAAATGATTAGAATTCTATGAAGATATTGCTAAGTTAATAAAATTAGAATTTTCACAAAAATGGATAGTGGCTAGTAGTAGAATCCAGGACGTAGGTACATCCAGAATAGGATGAATCGCGCACCCTGGATTCCAATGCCAGCCACTAACAGTCTTCGCCTAAAATGTCGCGTTATCGTTATCGTTTCTGGTTAGCGTTTTTTTAGTGAGTTAGTTTTCTAAGGGATGGGGTTGCTAACCCCATGCCCAACCCTACACATTTATCCGGGCTTGGGACCGGCATTAGCTCCCGGAGGGACTCCAGGCGGAATCACATTAATTAATAATTTAATTGAAAGGATTATTTGTCCCAAGAAACTACAACTTGTAAAAGTCTAAACTAATCTTTTGGGTGAGACTATAATTTATGGACGATATTTGGGCGAAGCTAAAGTGACCTTGAGTGTGTCCACCTAATAATTAGGACCAAATGAGGGTGATGAACCAGTATAAATAATAAGAATTATGATTTACAGTTGATGGTTAAGGTTAGAAATTGGATTCCGGGTTTTCGTCACTAACTGACATCAGCCATAATGTCAAAACTATACTTAGCTATGTGGGTGAATGAATTTCGCGCCAAAATACAATACCTGTTATCCTAAATCTGATTGGTTCAACCATAAATTATAGTCTCATCAAAATAGATTTAAGTAATTATAGATTAATAAAATGAAACATACAAACTTCTATATTATGAGACTGATGGGTCCCGGGTTCGAACCCCGCGAGGTGGGGTCGTCGATGCGCATTTCTGAGTGCCACAACAGGACGAAACGGCCGTCCAGTGCTTTCAGGTTTTTCACAGTGGTTTAACTTCATTTGAATCATGATCTCTACTATTGAAATCACCAAAATCTCCACAAATCCCTTCGGATACTAGTCATTAAGTATTAATGTATATCATATTTCTTTAGTCCATCAATGCCAATCAAGTATCTAAGTTACTCGACATTAAATCAATTATATTTTTTTATTTTAAGTGTTTGGACGTTATCCTTAGAAGGATACCTAGATGTATGGTTTCAAATACCTGACCGTATAGAGCACAAATAAGAAATTTTATTTTATCCATCACTCAAATATGAGTAATACAAAAATGATCTCAATCAAAAGATACCCAACTCTCTTCACAACTCTATACTGATAACGATACTAGTGCAGTGAACAAGAACACAAGTGTGGGCAACCGTATCTGAACACGAAATCACAGAACATCTCACTAAAATCTGATAATCATACAGTGAATACTTCATTAGCAAAATGCCAATGTATTGTTTCAAATTTGACTGTTCCGTATGCAAATATTAGTCTATCGTCTCAGATTTCATTGTTCATGCATTCTCATGCCTATTTCCTTTCGTTTCTGTTCTTTCCTTCTCGTTCTTCTATTGAAATATATTCTATACCTGACTATCGTTATATACTACTTAAGTGAATATCAGTAGCTCATATCACATTAGAATCCACTCATTTAAATGTTACGTAATAATAATGTAAATACAATAATTTTCTGTAGGATAGTTCTAAACGATTAATCTTGCTCAAATTCTCTTCAATAGGACAGGCAGCAATTGTAATTGTTGACTATTCACGGATTGTCAATATAAATCCGTTCTCATGTTCTTATTAAAAGCCAATCAGTTACGCTTCACTGAATTAATTAACTTAGTTTTTCATCCAACTTGACAACAAACTAATGTATATAGTTACAGTATATTTGGTTGTTATCATGTGTGTTTTTTTTATTGATTATTTCACCATCTAAATTAGTTAGTTGATTTCACTTTCCCAATTATCGTTGAACTGTTACTTACTTACTTACTTACTTACTTACGCCTGTTACTCCCAATGGAGAATAGGCCACCGACCAGCATTCTACAACTCACTCTGTCCTGGACCTTCTTTTCTAGTTCCATCCAATTCTTGTCCATTTTTCTCATGTCTCTCTCCATCTCTCGGCGTAATGTGTTCTTTGGTCTTCTTCTTCTACTCATTTGGCTTTGAGGATTCCATGTGAGGGCTTGTCTTGTGACACAGTTCGGTGCTTTCCTCAATGTGTGTCCTGTCCACTTCCAGCGCTTCTTCCTGATTTCTTCCTCCACTGGGATCTGATTTGTTCTGTCCCACAATAGGTTGTTGCTAATAGTGTCCGGCCAACGGATCTGAAGTATTTTGCATAGACCACTGTTAATAAACACCTATATCTTCTGGATAATGGCTTTCGTGGTTTCCCACGTTTCGGCCCCATACAGTAGAACTGTATTCACATTTGTATTGAAAATTCTGACTTTGGTGTTGGTTCCCAATTGTTTTGAGTTCCAGATATTCTTCAGTTGTAAACATGCTGCTCTTGCATTACCGATCCGTGCCTTCACATCTGCATCTGATCCTCCGTGTTCATTCATGATACTGCCCAAATATGTAAAGGTTTTTACATCTTCCAAATCTTCTCCGTCAAGTGTGATTGGATTGTTGCATGCTGTGTTGTATCAGAGAATCTTGCTTTTCCCTTTGTGTATATTGAGACCTACTGCTGCTGAGGCTGCAGCTTCACTGGTTGTCTTCTCCTGCATTTGTTGTTGCGTATGCGATAGAAGAGCCAGATCATCTGTAAAGTCTAGATCATCCAATTGCATCCTAGTTGTCCACTGTATCCCATGCTTCCCTTCAGATGTTGATGTCTTCATGATCCAGTCGATCACCAGGAGAAAGAGAAATGGTGAGAGTAAGCAACCTTGCCTGACACCGGTCTTTACTTCGAGCGAGTTTGTCAACTGTCCTCCATGAACGATTTTGCAGTTTAATCCATCATATGGATTCCATATGAAATTGACTATCTTCTGAGGCACGCTGTAGATCGTTGAACTGTTGCTGACACAAAATCAGATGATGGGTGAAGTTATTCAAGAAAATCCGACTACTGTTTGTAATGATAGTTCACTT